AAAAAAAAGAATCGATTGCGTTATTTCGGGACCAGATAAATTAATTATGATCTAATTTAGCATAATCAAACTTATGATAATGAATTATTTGTTAAAGTTTAAATTTATTATTAATTTCATTTTTAGCTTCAAATATTAGGAATTGTTAGGAACAAATGTCAAGAATTACCTGACAATAAGGTGCATTCATACCAATAAGAATGCCACCTTCATCTAATCGTTCCGAATACATATCAGCGCAATAATCAACCATACAGCAGCTTACTGTAATTCATTAAATTAATTAAATGGAAATTATTAAATAACCAATTAATAAAACAAAATTCTATTTGATTGCAATTTTTCCTTCGTTTTTTTTTGAATTAACCCTAAAAAATAAAAAATTCTTCCCTAAATATTATATACAACCTTATGTTAATGTTAACGAATTATGATATCATTTTCTATCAATTCGAATTATTTCAAATCGATTACAACCGATTACAATCATCATTTAACATTTTCATTAATCTTTAATCGTTTAATTCATTTTCATTACTCTACGGTAAACTATTTTTTTTTTTGTTTTTTTCTAATAACTGAAAGCAAATCATGATAAACTAAAAATGAATTTCGCTTCTTTTTTAATTTGAATTTTAAACTAAAAAATGAATTTTACTTCACTTTTAATTCGACCTTTTCTTCTTCGATTTTTTTTCCCCCTTAATTTAATTTTTCCTTAAATTTAATTTTTTTTTTTCTCCTTTAATTTAAAAGACAATCATCTATTGCAAATGATTGAATTAATTGAAGAGAAAAAAAAAAAGGAATTTTTTGAAATTAGAAAAGAAGCAAATTCATTGATATTATCAATCGTATAATTTCATTCATTTGGTTGATTTTAAATGGAAAATTTAATCAAGCTTTCATGAAGTTTAAAAAAAAGAAAATTTAGTCAAACTTTTCATAAAAAATCAAACTCTTATAATTTAATCAAACTTCCATTTTTCATAAAGATAAAATACTATTTCCACATATTTTTTTTAGTTTAAAGTTTTAAAAATTTGGAAAAAAGAAGTTCCAAAAAGAAAAACATACCGTAATGAAAGATGACAATGTGTAGTATAGCTAATATAATAGATTGTAATTTGTGAAAGTCAGTGTTCATGTCACATCATTGCAGCAGATAAGCTTCAAGTTCCACTGATATAAACAAACGCAAGAGAATAGTTTAGGATGAAATTAAAATTTGAATCTGTTCGTGTTCTTCAATTGAAAATCCTTTCAAATTGATAAAAATTTCCATATGAAATGATTTCGTTTGTTTGTTTGTTTATTTTTTGTTTATTTGTTTATTTATTTATTTGTTTATTTGGTTGTTTCCTTGTTTATTTGTCTGTTTGCTTGCTTCTTTATACAAACTGTATGTGTAATTATTGCTAATTATATATTTTTTTTTTTGCAAGCAAATCTGAAAATAAAAAATATATTTTAATTAATTTGAAGTAAAAAAAAAGACAAACACATGAACACATATACACGAAGTCATTTATTATTAAATGAACGTTATTTCTATGCAAAATAAATTTTTTGAAAAATCATAGCAATAATATAAAAAGAAACATTTTATGAATAATAATATATGTATATAAAATTTTATAACTATAATACAACTATAATTAATGTAATTAATACAAATATAATTAGTACAATTAATGCATGTAAATGCTTGCAATATATGAAAGAAACCGTAAAAAAATTGGAAGAAAATTTAAATTTAGCAAAAAAAAAACGAAAAATTGATATCAAAGTTTTAGCTTTGCAAAAAGCTTATGAAACCCTATCAAATATTTCAGGTTTAAATTTTCTTATAATTTTCATGGTTTTCATATATTTTATTTTATTTTAGGAATATTTTGGGCAACAATAAATATGAAATTTGAATTCATATAAATTTGAACCGAATAAATTCGAATACATATGAATTAAATTTGGAGTATAAATTTGAATTCCTCCATAAAAACTGATAAAATGTTAGTGAAATATTTTTTCTTTCTCATATCAGTAAAATATGAAGGAAAGGAAAAATGAAAAATTGACGAGGATACGATATATTTTATGTGACATTTATCGAAATTACTATTCAAAGTTATAATTTCAAGATGCATCAATGCTTTCTAAGAATTTTTAACAATTATTTAATACTATTAGATTAAATCATTAACAATTGCTACAGTTAATGCTTTAGACTATTCAAATTTCCAATTATTAAAGGTAAAAAACAGGTGGAAAAAAGAAATAAACAAAATGTAATTGGGATTTTATCATATTTTATTCATTTTCCTGATGCTAACATTCATTGTGGAATTTCTAAAATTGGAATGGTATGGTACCAGAAAGGGAAAAAGATTATAGCTAAAGATAATATTATGCACAAAAGCATATTTCAACAGTGGTGATGATGAGAAAGTCCTTCTTCGATTTCACAAATGCAATAAATTTTAATTTTAATATAATTTCAATTTTATTGATTTAAATATATCGTTTAAATACATTTTAATTGAAATTGTTATTGATAAAGTCGAACAAATTTGACTTATAATATTTATTAAAGTTTTTGCTTAATTCAAAAAATTTTCTGGAAAAAGTTAAAATTTCAAAATGAACAAGAATGAAAACGAGAATGAAAGAACCAAAGAAACATTATTACCATTATTACTGTTATCATCATCATTATTATCATTATTATTGTCGTTATTATTATTATTATTATTATTGTTATTATTATTATTATTATTATTATTTTATTATTATTATTATTATTATTATTATTATTATTATTATTATTACCATTATTATTATTATTATTATTCACCATCATCATTGTTATTCATTATCATTATTCATTATTTATTGTTTTGCTGTGTGTATTTATTAATAGTTAACATAATTATGTAATACCAGTTTAATTATAAGAAATGATAGCATAGCACTGCTTGAGACGAATAAAATGATTGCAATTGATTGCAACAGTGAAAGATTTTCGAATGAAACAAGAAAATTAACATGAATGAATTACTAAAATAATAGAAGATTAATCAAAAAAAGAATGATTTTAAAATACTAAATGAATACTTTATTAATTACAGTAATTTATCCATGCCACTAATTGCTAATTAACTGATAAGTTTTTGTTTTCATTGCGTTCCTCAAATAACAGCGATAATAATAGTGGTAATAATAAATAATAAAATGGTAGCACTAATAATAAAAGAAAATCCGGAGTTTAGGATTATTATTTCCGGAAAATTCATGTTCAATCAAAAAGAGAAATTAATATTAGCAATAAAGCAAAAAAAAAAAAAAAAAAAAAAGTAAGCAGGAAGATGTATGTAGAACAAGTAAGTATATGCTCACAATTGAATGTAACAAATGGATCAAACATTCATTTCATTTCATCAAATTATCAGCATTTCGTAGTTAATTAATTAATTAATTGTGGATTGCTGGTAGTTTGATGAGAGAAAGAGATAAACATATAGTTGTATATATGTACATTTTATTGTAAAGTTGATTGAATTTTTAACAGATAAATTTGATTTGAATGATAATTTTGTATCATTTTTTTTTGTTACCTTCGAGAAGAACAAAAAGAATATGAATTGGAAATGTAATTAATCTTAATCAAAATTGCAAAAAAAAAAAGAAATTTCTTTTTTTTTCGTTTCTTTTTATTTCTTAAAAAAGAAGAAGGAAACGATGACAACGAGAATTGACAACAAGAATGATGAAGAAAATGATAATGAAATTTAAAAATGTGGCAGTTATCATTAGATCATTATACATGTAGTCTCATTGATCTAATGGGTGATAATTGTCAAATAAAAAAAAAGAAAATTAGGCCATAGTCATTATCATTATTATCAGTAAGTAATGATAGTGATAGTTAATCATTGAATAATACTCTCGGAGAGAGAGAGAGAGAGAGAAAGAAAGAAAAAGAAGGAATAGTAGCATAGCGATAGGATTGAAATTGATAAAATGAAAAATTGCTTAATTTAACGATAAATGATATATCATTCATTCTTTTTGTATGAATTAATACTGCCTGAGATGAGAAAAAGAGAAAAAGAAAAGACAACAATAAATGAAGAATTCATCTTTGTTTCAAAATATTTATCGTTTTTTTTTATTTTAATTTATTTCTTTTGTTTTCCTCACAATCCAACAAAATTCTTTGTTTTCTAGAAAATTTTAAAAAAGTGAAAAAAAAATTAAAACCTTTAAAAAAAGAAAAAATTAAGATTTAAAAAATTAAAATCTATTTTATCTGTTAATCTATTTATTTATTTACCTGTACCTTTATCGATTTATTTCAAGAAATGAAAAAAAAAAAAGCACTACATTTCAT